GTCAACAACGGCATCGCTCCCACCAGAGAGACAGGGCATAAAGGAAATAAATAGCACGGACATCGGAACACCGAGCTGCCATCTCCACGAAAATATGAAAAACTCAAAACAACGAGAAGACGACGACAACAATAACAACAACAACGACAGGTAACGACAGCAGCAACCGAAACTGAACCAGCTAACCTTCTCGCTCTCGGAGTCGAGGGCAGACGTGGCCTCGTCAAGGAGCAAGATGGCCGGGTCCTTGATGATCGCACGGGCGATGGCGATGCGCTGCTTCTGGCCTCCAGACAGCTGGAACCCTCCCTCGCCGACTCCTGTGTTGTAGCCCTCCGGAAAGCTCTGACGCCATCGAGAGAGACAACGTCATAAGCCATGCGGGTCCATCGAAGCGAGTCAACAGTAGTGGTGGCTGATCCCCGTATGAACAAGAGCCGGTAAGCTCTGCGAGATGCCATAAGCCATGCGGGTGGATCAATCGATCGAAGCCAGTCGCAGCTGTAATGGATCCTATCAAGGGAGTACTGGTCCCTGTATAAGGGTGGTCCCTGAATAACGCCATGAAATCGCGTGCGACAGAAGGATTGAATATTCAAGTTGTCTCATGATACCTGTCGCGTGACACAGATGGAATCAATGTTCAGCGCTTAGCGGTATGTATACAAGCCCGTGCAGATGAAAGTACAGCGCAGGCACGCTACGAATCATCAACACACAAAACAACTGTATCTCTCGGGTACGAGGTACAAGCACGCACGCAGACAAACTGACCCGAACAGGCCACAGACAAGCGAGCTCACCTTGATAAACTCGTGCGCGTTGGCAGCCCTAGCGGCGGCGATGACTGCCATGCCATGTCAGCCCATGGCAGAAAAATTCAGACGAAAACGCAACAGGAGGTCACAGCAGGCAGGACCAAGAGCCGAGACGGAGCAAGCCGCGCGAACGTGTTATTAGTACGTGCACACAGCGAGGTTTGTGCGCACGGTGCACACGAGACAATCAGAGCAGAGCCATCTCTGGCAAGAGCACAACACGACACCGCTTTGAGGGTCAGCTCGAGACGTCACCATCCAGAGCACAACCGCAGCAGGGCAGAGGCACGATCCAACTTTCCGTTTATAGTGCATTAAAATTGAACAAACATCTTGAAGGGTTTCGTACAGACAAGACTGGGAGACAGACACCACCTTAACCGAGTACGAGAGGCACACACATAGCAGATCTACAAAGGGGTCTTTACTTGGGAATGAGACGGGAATGCATCAAAGAATCGGACCGCAATAAGAACAGAACAAAATGAAGAGAGAGAGGGGGTGACGGGCGGGAGTGTCTCACTTTCATCCTGCGTGGACCCCAGCTTGCCGTTGGCGATGTTGAGCGCGATTGTCCCGGCGAATAGCACAGGCTCTTGCCCGACGTAGCCGATCTGGCACAATCAATACACGTGCACATACAGGTGAAAAAAAAAAAAAAAGTGAATGACGACATTGGACTAAAAACAACGCTCGAGAAGCAAAAAGAAATCAGCAACAATCACCAACGAAGACGAGAACGGAAGGGACAACAAACACCGAAGATCGGTCTTCATCACATCCCTAACCTACCACTCTCTCCCCACCGTAGCGGATTAGTTTCCGCTAACGCATTAATAGACCCTCATCAATGGGCAGAGATGGGAGTTGTGACAAGACAACATTTTGGTAAAGTACCACCAGAGTAGTAACGCACCTGCTGCCTATACCAGGCGACGTTGAGAGACTTGATGTCTGTGCCGTCGAGAGTCACGGTACCCGAGGTGGGGTCGTAGAATCGCAGCAGCAGCTTGGTCATGGTGGACTTTCCTCCGCCGGAAGGCCCGACCAGGGCTAGGGTCTTGCCGACTGCTACCTCCAGGCTGAGGGAGCCGTACACCACGTCGTTCGGCCGGGCCGGCTGTGAGGAGCGGTTGCCCGTTTTGGTTCAGGAAGAGGGTAAGAAGGGCAACAAGAGAGGGGAGGGCAACAAGAGAGAGGGCGAAAGCGTGTGCATGTGCGTGAGAGAGAGAGTTAGAGAGAGTTAGAGAGAGACAAAGACAGGCAGACAGGCAGACAGAGAAGGTAGACAACGAAGCACATCAGGGTTGTTCACGAATGCAAAATGCCTAACTTTCGTGTTCCGCAGGTTCTTTCCGCTACAAACGTAGACTGTTGCTGGTGCAATTTCCCCAAACGCGAGGATGGTCGCCGCCCCAAACCACACAGCCACAACAACACTCCAACAAACGTACCCAGCAAGAAAACACAGGCCCACGCAAAAACTCACGTAGCTGAAGCCGACGCTGTCGAACACCACCTGCCCCTCCACGTTCGCGGGCTTGAGCCCCTTCTCCGAGGACGAGTCGATGGGGGGCACGCGGTCAAGAACCTCGAACACCTCCACGGCGGCCCCGCGGGCGACGCCCAGGGCGGCGATGCCGGGGGCGGTCTGGCCGAACATCATCGAGCCCATGAGGACGGCGAAGATAGCAGCCAAAACGTCCCCTCCTGAGCGTCCGTCCCCGTCAGCCACCTGTCGAACCCATTGGTTGCATAGCGCGGGGTAATTAAGAACAAGCCCGCGCAAAACGGGTCGTTCAACCCTGGTGTGAATCATTGGTAACCTGTCCCGGACTCTTGTCTGTGGAAGAGATGAATCTGTTTTGTTCAGAAAAAGAAAGAAGGAATGGCCTTCGGCACGAGTGTGTGTGTGTGTGCGGATGGATACTTTTGTTTCTCAACCGACCACCAAACAAGGGGAGAAAAAACGCGTACTGTATTGTGTAAAAAACCAAGAGCGCGTTCGTGGGCGAAAATGGCTGGAGCTGGAGTGGACGTCGAGCACAGGATACCGTATTTCATGATACTGGAGTATAGGATCCACCGCTGACCTAGCTGTGTTTTGTAACTCCATATTCTTCATTTTGGTGAAAAATTGAGCCTCAACGCTGAAAATCAATAATACTTGGTACACGCCTAACCAATCCTCGAAATGGTGTGAACGGAAACCTGCACAATTCCGGCCCGGTCCTGCATGTAGCTATACACCACCGTTTGCACGCCTTGGATAACCAATCGCCGCATTTGCTGTTGTACTGCTGACCTGCTTCGTGCCAAACCAGAAGGCGAGAGCATAGCTCATGTAGAAGGAGGTGAAGAGCATGCCGTTGCCGAGACCCTTGGCCATGCCCTCCTTCACCCCGGCGTGGTAGGCTCCGTCCAGGTGTTTGCCGTAGCGCTTCAGCTCGATCTCCTCGGAGTTGAGCGAGGCCACCGTGCGGATGCCGCTGAGGACCTGGAGCCCAAAAATGAGAGAAAAAAACAACGAATGCAAATAAAAGTTGCGGAATAACGACAACACCATCGATTCCACTTACCGTTGCGAAACAAAACAGGCACACACACATACACATAGTCAGCCGCTGATAGCTGTAGATGCTACGTAACCAAAGACTCACCGTTAGAGTGGCCGAGGTTATGCAACACAGCTAAAAAATCACACACAACACACACACAAAACGCACGCGCATCCAAAGTCGTAGCAGCTATGGCAAACATATGCAGCTTTCTTCTGTTAGTTCTACGGTATCTGTCTTTAACCCGGAGAGTAGCGTAGACTCCCACATGACGCTCGGTTGCAGGGTCCCAGATCGTGGCCAATAGCAGCATTTTGTATTTTCCACCGCACTGAGACTGACGTCAGCCGGTTAGCGCGGTCGATGCAAACAAAAAAGACGAACACATACACACACACACACCTCTGTGGCAACACCGCCCGCCTTGGAGTAGTGATCGTTCCCCTCCTGAGTGCTGCTGGACATGAGCTTGGACAGGACAGCGACGCTCCCACCGATGAAAGGAACGCACGCCAGCATCACCAGCCCGAGCTCCCAGTTGATGATGATCCCGGTGACAAGCAGGGCAATGCCTGCACATTTGACACCGCACGCACGGAACCAAGCACCGACGAAAACACAACGCTCACACGAGGAACCGCGGCAACACCAACAAGGGCAACGATATCTGTGCGCTGACCAGCACCAGCACCAGCAGCATCACCACAACCACCACCACCACCACCACCGCCGCCGCCATCATCACCGATGCCAGCATGGTATTCGACACGGACCCGCAGATAAACAAACACCAAAAATCGGGTCGAGGCCCAGCTTCTTATTTCATCGCCACTTTTTCCGTCGGAGCACAGGTGGATATTTAGATCCTATTGTAGAATCCACCGCTGATCTATGTGTCTTTAGACCTACAGTACACGTTTCGTATTCGTAGTGTCTCGTATTTTTAGTGGTAGTCTGAGCCCCTACATACTAGTATTTCTCAACGAAAATTTTCGTAGCTGAGGGCCAGTATACTACTACTCACCGCTGAGGCCGTTGAGGATGATGTCCCCGATCTTCCTGCCCAAGCCGTCCTGCACCTTTGCCATGTTAGCGGTGACGGCCGTGGGAAGCTGCCCCGCGGGGTGCTCATCGAACCATCCGATGTCCTGCTTCAGGATGCACTTCACGTATTCCCTCCGCATGCGTAGCGCCTGCAACAGCAACAACCGAATTCAAAAGAATTACGGCAAATAGAAGCGGTTGCGGTCGGGGGGCGCGATTGCGTGTACTGAAGGCTTGTAGTTTTACTCGTGGATCACTGGGAGTGCTCTTTGTGCCTTTCATTCCACACAAACACACCGAAATTTGATTGGTAAGTCGGAAGGCGCGGCCCTGGTAATCAACACACAAAATGAAAAACACAACAACCGCAGCACAGACAGACACACACAATTGGATCTTCTCCCTGTATACAGTAGTTCAGACCTGCGCCCTCCCTATCGGTAGAACCCTTTCAGCTTTGAATGGAAGCGTGTTCGTTCCTTCCGTTTTATATCCCGCTACAATACGCCTTTTGACTGGCCAGCCGGTTGCAATTAGCGCGGTCGTGCTGATAACAAAAACCACACCCTCACCCACGACCACACTGACTGATGTCTATTGATTGGTCAGCCGGTTACAATAACGCGGTCATGGTTGTTGTTGTTGTTGTTGTTGTAAACCGTTCCGTTCCCTCTGCCCAGTACCATCTTCAATGCAAGCAACAAAAAACATTCATACACCCACACACCCTGAGACTTACGCCTTTTGATTGGTCAGCCGGTTAGCGCGGTCGATGCTAGCAACAATAAACACCCACACCCACGCATCTTATTCCAGCTACGAGACTGACGTATTCTCAATGATCCGTCGGCCATGTAGCGTGGTCGATGCAAACAACACCGAAACACCCACACCCACCTGGCGTTCTCCGGAGATACTCCAAAGGGTCACCAGGACGAACCCGACCACCCCGGCGACGAAGCCGATTACACCGAAGAGGATGCAGAAGCTCGTCACGCTCTCCAGGATCGTTTTTTCATCGTCTTCCTCCACAGGCTCGCCGAGTTCATCCAGGGTGCTGCCGAAGTTGGCGATGAAAGAGGGGCATCATGCTGCAGGGGCACGCCGGAAAGCAGAATGCAACAGGGGGGGGGGGGGGGGGGGGCGTACTCATGTGTTTCACGCCTTGGTTGTTAGACCATTGACCGCGCGTCCTCGACAGGCCGGTGCCTTTTCCCCAGAGGACCGATCATCGATTGTTCCTTCCTACTCCGCTGCCAAACGTTGCTAAAGAAGGGGGGGCTATAGATCGTGCAACCACAGAAAACGATTGTTGTACTGCCGTCTTGATTGACGCTGAAAGATATTCAGATCCTTCAGAGCAGATTGGACCGAGCACAGTTGGGGGCCCCTCATTAACGCTGGTTGAATAGCGCCGGTGGCCCTGTGAAGGGCCGGTGAGACTGGTTGGTACAGACTGAATCGCCAAGTCGTCTCGTAGTCTGAATGGTGCCGGTCGATTCGCTGGGCACATACCGGCCATGTTGAGCTCCTCCCACTGTATAGGCATGCGCGAGACAAACACAGAATGTAGAAAAACCTTCTTGATTCGCCGGGCACATACCGGCGTTATTGGGGACCTGCACTGAATAGGCATGCCCGAGGCAACAAACACAGATTGCAGAAAAAATACTCTGAATAAAACGCCTGGGGTTAGGGATAGGGTTGGGGTATCGGCCTCACCAGGCATGTATTGCCGCAGCGATGATCCCGACGAACATGTACAACTTGTCCCTCCCATCGGCATAGGAAAAAAGCTTGGCGATAGACACCTGCATACAGCAGTAAACGGGCGACGCAATCGCGCAGGGACAATGTGTTTTCGTAAGCAAGCATGTTCGGCCTGCATATGGAGACATGCGACGACAAACGTGAGGATTATTGTGAGAGTCATGGCAAGACAGGGCGATAAAAACGAGAAGACAAGATGAACAGCATGCACGAAATGTTCCACCGTTTCAAGCTCATTTTGTTACCATGCACAACTAGATATACATATCTGGTCTACAACATAGTCCTTCAGGGGCTACACAGCAGTGGTTCGTGGCCTGTGATACTCGTAGCACGGCCGGGAACGCTATGCCGAGCGTCACCGCAGCCACCACCCACACGCGAACGCACTTCACGACAACAACCACACCTGTGGCTTGGGCTCAGGCTTGGCCTTGGAGTCATCGGGCTTGTCCGCCTTAGGGCCCGCGTTCACCATCTGTTTCTCCATGTCAGGAGCGCCGGCCTTGACGGGAGTAGCCGGAACGGCAACGGCCTCCGCCGCTGGCACCGGTGCCGCCGCTGTGGCCGGCGGTGGAGACTCTGGTACGGTAGTGGCCACTACAGCAGCAGCAGCAGCAGCAGCAGCTGTGCCAGCAGAAGCATCAGCAGCGGCCTGACGCACAGGGAAAGCGAGGAAGACACACGCGCAATGGAGGTGCGCCGCACAATCTTTAGCTCTTGCTCTCGGAATAGGTCTAGGTTGGGTGGTCTGCTGGTTGTTTTTATGTGGTCGTAGGATGACAGTGGGCTAGCGCTGGCGTGACTGCTGTGCGATGTCTGTTCCCCGTCTTCCTGTATAGACATGACCGGGAGTGGGTCCGCGAGTATACCACCGTCGCGGACACCACCGTTAGCGCCAGCACTCGAGAACCTCTAGTGTAGGCCGAGGCTGGTGTTCCTACTAGTTCCTAGGGCTATGCTGCGAATGACCGTTGTTTAGGTTTTAGTGTAGGGCTTCTTAACCGAGCTCACAAAATGGTGCTCAAGAATTCGAGTGTTCGACAAGAGGCTGTATCGATTTCTCAAGTGCTGGTGCTTGCCGAAACCACGCACACTCTATTCTCCGCCCAGAAGCATGCAATGACATGACGCCCCCAAAGCAGAAAAAAAAAAAAAGGAGTACAACAATGTCTCTAGGATACAGTGGGGGTCCCTGTTTAGTGCCGGTTGAATAGGGCCAATGCCCGGAATCGTGCCGGTTTTTTCGGCGGGCACGCACTGAATTTCCAAGTCATTTGTCAGTACAGCTTTGAATTGATGTTGGTGCAGCGTGGCGCCCCTCCGCTCGGTGTCCAGGCACACACGCAGCTGTGACGATGTGATACATGATGATGAGGACTGCGCGGGACGAAATGATGCGCGATCCCTTAAAAGCGGCGATTTCCAAGCAAATTACATCTTATTTCGCAGGAACACCGCCACGAAGTAGATAAACATGCGCCAAAAACACCAAGTTTCCTTTCGTGTCTCATCCATGGCCGCTACCTCGGCACCGCTGCGCTTGCATTATTATTATTATTGTTATTATTATTATTATTATTATTATTATTATTATTATTATTTTCTCTTAATATGACACAACGAATCCATCTCTATCATAGAAAAGAGTCCGAGACAGATTAGCAATGCATTCATAGCGCCAGAAAGTACCTGTATGTCTACGGTTTCCCAGACAGCATATAGGGACATCTCCCCTGCGGGTAACAGGCTCAACAAGACAGTTTGGTAGCATTTTTTCTTATTCTACAACACAACGAATTCATCTCCTCCACAGCTAAAAGCGTCGTGGATAGACTACATGTAGCAATGGATTCCATAGCGCCTACCTCGGCACCGTTACGCTTGCATTATTTTATTTTCTCGTTCAATGTACAACACAACGAAAAAAAATCTCCTCCACAGCTAAAAGCGTCGTGGATAGACTACATGTAACAATGGATTCATCGAGTCAGCGGAAGCTACCTGTGTTTTCTACTATTCCCCGAGCAGCATTTTTGGTTCGGTAGGAGTAGATAGCAGTCGTGGCTGTTCAGAAAGTCGGCAAGCGGTCGCGTGTAGCACAGCTTGCTCTATGTATGTGTTGGGACGAACGGTCGGGGACTGCTGTATCTACCGAAATCATCCAAATAGTTGTTGACTCCATGGCTTACTAGCTTGCCTCTACTTGTTGCTTCGTGAGAGAGATCAGACGGCTCGCTTCGCTCACAGCAAGGAGGACACGAAATGTGCTTAGGGAAGAGAGATGGGTGGTCGCGGCAGGGTGTACTCAAGAAACCAAGGCAGATGTGCGAACTCGTCTGTCTGAACCATTCCTCTGCTTTCTTCGTCTGCTTCTCTGCGTATTGCATACAATTCAAAGGAGAAGGAGGAACAGCAGAGCCCTGTTGCACAGAGCGCCACCGTAAACTGCTGGGGAATGCAGTTAGAAAATCTTCTCACTGCTGTACTGGACGCATGAAGTGTGGCTACGTCGAATGTGTATGTCGTTCCTTGTAACATGAGCAAAGCGGGGTGTCTCTCTGCACATTCTAAACACCTCTGGGTAGAGGCGGCAAAACTGCAGAAATTGCCCGCGCAAAAATGCATGTGTGGTAATCAAACCGTCGAACAATGCACCTTATGGCACCCGAGGAATACTTGATTTCTCTTTCGCTGTCCACTCGAGTTAATGGACGCTGCCTCCCTCCCAGCCGCCAAAAACTACGTGTAGTGCGTATCTGCTGTGCACGCTTGCTCGATAGCAGTTGCAATACGCTGGAAAGAGGCGGTCATGGGAGAGCTCAACAGCACCACCGAAACAGAGAGCTATCTTGGGATTTTAGCGCCGGCTTTATGCACCGAGGTGTGTGCGCGGGTCCCTCGTACGCCACAAATCAGTCAGGATAACATTGGCAACAGACAGCAGCGGCGGCGTCTGGGTTTGCGTCGGACGGAGAGGTAGCCAGAGAGGCCGGCTGTCGCTTCATTGCGGTGTGTATGTGTGTATGTTTGGACGGCCGCCTGCGGAAACGCGGTGATGTCAACTGCTATTTACATGGAAGAGGCCTGCAAAAAAAAAACACACGGATATGTAGCAGCTTCCCGCCCACAACTGCTGTGGGAGAAAAGCTCACAGCAGAAGCAAGAAATACGCCACAAGCTTTCGCGCGACTTGAAGCCGACGGTGAGCCTGTGATTCGCAAGCGCTGGCCTGCCTGTGGTTCAAGCTCGTTTGCGGTTGAGTGCTCGCCGCTGACTGAACAGCGGAAGATGTCTGCTACAATGCACAGACAGCACTATCCTCTCTCGCCCAAAACATCCACAAAGAACCCAGACCGCTCGCTGCTTACCTAGGTTACACTTTCGCCGAGAGAAACCAATACCGTTTTGCGTGCAACGACACTGCCGCCCACTCACCTCCATGCCGCTGTCCATTACAGCAGCAGGCGAAGGGTCGCTCATGGAACACGGGGGTGATGCTGTGTGTGGAGCCTTGGCATCGAGAGGAACGGTCTTGTGTGTTGTTTCTTCAAATCCTTCCTGCTGTTGCCAGACGCGGGCGGTGCCTGTCACTGCCCGATCCTTCCCCACACGGTGGCTGGGGTGGCGGCGAGGCAACGCAGAACTTGCGTGACTACTGCAGCGGAGATGCCAGTTCAGAAGAGCGGCGTGGGGTGTGTTCGGTGTGGCGGCAAGTGCGTCTGCGGTTGGCCGATTCGGTTCTTATTTTTCTACCAGAGAACGGTTCGTGTGTTCGTGTGGCCAATTTTGACCAATCACTGTGCTCTCCTGACGTTGCATTATGGTTCTCGGAAGGAACTTGCCCCGCCAATTGCCCGCCGATTCCCCCGCCCCTTACCCGCCTTTGTCTTGATTTCAGTGTGCCACATACTCGACCTGTATCATACGACGGCATTTTCCGCGATCTATCTGCTATCTACCTCCGCCGATTCCCCGCCTTCGTCTTGATTTCACTATACCGTATACTCAAACTGTGTGTACGTTCGCCATATTTTCCGCGATCAACACAACATATCCCGCCGCTTCCCGCCCCTGTCTTTCTTGCCACTCACGGACTGCTGTACTGCTGCTGTACACTGCGTGCAAATCCTAATAGCAAGTCTAGATACCGTCGCGTACATGCTTTTGCGTTCAATGAGAGACAACGTAGTTGCAAAAAGGTTGTTACGAGTGGAGGCGGAGGTCCTCCGTCACATGCGCACAGGATCACAGGATTAACACGCGCACAAAGCTATCCTCTTCCTGTGCATCACTGATGGCCAACTGCGGTAGACGCGAAGAGGCGGAGATATATATATATATTTGATACTTGTACAAGGCTTTTTGGCGGCTCACGCCGCCACGCTGAGAGAAGCGTACAAGACGCATGTTTGTTGGCGTCTGGTAAATGATGGTATGCGGTGGCTGTGAGATTCCCAGCGACATGTTCCCGTAGTATGCAGATGTGAGAAATGATGAACCACATTACTTGGCTTACGTTTGCAGGACACTAGCGGCAAAGTCACACACTAAACGACGGCATTCAGCAGTCATCCGCACTAACCGGTGAGCAGAAACACGCTTTAAGCATACGACACGACACGGCTTAGTGTAAAGTCACACAGTGCACACTATGGCAACGGTGAATCAAAGCACGGTCCACCCAACGACACGACACGGCCGAGTCAACCACACGGGCTTCACCCAACGCAAACCACACGAAACGGCATAGTCAACCACGCAAACGTCATGACAACGGCAAAGTCACACACTACATACGACACGACATGGCATAGTCATCCTGACAACATGACCACGGGAGAGTCACACACTAACGGCAGCGACGATCCGCTAACCCAAAGACTTTGAAACCAACGACTATTCTCGGTACAACCTATCCTTCATAGCTACTTGCGACGCAATGATGTATTGCTATGATGCTCCTTTGGACTCAATCCAACCGCCGTCCTCATGCTGATTCGGATGGCGCGGTTGTGCTTGGGTCAAACGAGGTTCTGTTCCTTTGGACTCAATCCAACCCCCGTCCTGATGTTGGTCCGGATGGCGCGGTTGTCCTTGGGTCACACGAGGCTGTTGGTCTTGTGACTGGTGCCCTGGTGTGTTGTGCGGAAGACATCCAATGTAGTCGATGTATTTGGGGGGCATGGCGGGGGATTCAGTGGCAGAGTCCGTCGCAGCTTGGACAAACGCAGAGAATGTAACGTTCGCAACAAAAGCAGCATGTCTCAAAGTCAATCGGTCCAAAAATCTTCCTACTCCTGAGGTCTTTCATGAGTTCAGCCATTTTAATTTTAAAGACACGGTCGCATAAGTCTGTCGTACGCTGTTTGACCGGGTAACAGATTAGCTTGAATTGCTTCCCAGTTACCATTGCATGTCATGGTGAGCATGGCACTAGGGCGTCCCTTACGTGATACAATAGCTAAGGCGTCGGTTGTGTTTGCTTTC